CATCCAGCTTTACCTTTGACTCAACTAAGAAACAAAAAAGAAGAAATGTTTAACGCAGGACATCAGGAACACATCAGTTACATGTTTTAAGTTAAATAAAAGGTATTTTATTTGCATATTTAATCACATTTTTGATAAAATAATTTTAATATTAGACAAAGCTAACCTGAGTAAATCGAACAATTCCGTTTTTAAATAATGATTGCATTTAAATAATAAAAACTATCCAAATCTATCACATTTAACCACATTTTAAGTTGAGATTAATTTCACTAACCATGATTACTGCTGATTATTGCCAGACCTGCTGAATCAAGAAATCATATAAAAAGAACCTGTTTGAGAAAGTGATGTAGGCTCAAAGATCTCCAAAGACAACATATTACAGCACATCCATACAGTATATCACTACGTAACCAAAATCACCAACATCTAACAGTCTGGAAAGGGTTACACAGTAATTTCTTAGGCTTTGGAACTCCAGTGAATCACAGTAAGAACCATTATCCATAAATGGAGAAATCTGGTATAGTGGTGAAATTCCCAGGAGTGGACAGTCAACCAAAGTTACTCCGACAGTGCATTGACGACTCATCCAGGAGGTGACAGAAGGACCAGAGCAACATCTAAAGAACTGCAAGCCTCACTTCCCTTAGTTAAGATCAGCGTTCATCATTAAACAAAAAGAAAGAGACTGGGCAAAAATGGCATCAAAGGGAAAAAATTCTGTGGATTGATGAGATAAAAGTTCTGCTACATCTGGCATAAACTAACAGCATTTCATGAAAAGAACATCAGACCTACAGTACAACATGGTGTTGGTAGTGTGATGGTTTGGGGTTGCTTCAGGATCTAGACAACTAGCTGTAACTGATGGAACCATCTCTCTAGAAGAAACTCCTGAATTTCCGGCCATTATTTGTCCTGAAGGTCAGGTGCACTTGAGTTATGCATCAGCAAAATGATCACTGTCACCTTGAGTCCACCAAATTGCTGCTCGATTGTTGGAAGATGTTTTCTTAGTCCTAATAGATTTCTTCATAATTTGATTTATTTGCCAATAAAAGTCAATTGAAGTCCACCCACCCACCCATCCATCCGTCCATCTGTCCGTCCGTCCATCCATCCATCCATCCATCCATCCATCCGTCTGTCCGTCCATCCAACACCCATCCATCTGTCCATCCATCCATCCATCCGTCCGTCCATCCATCCCTCCGTCCCTCCGTCCGTCCATCCATCCATCCATCCATCCATCCATCCATCCATCCGTCCGTCCCTCCCTCCGTCCCTCCGTCCTTCCATCCATCCCTCCGTCCATCCATCCATCCCTCCGACCGTCCATCCATCCATCCATCCATCCATCCATCCATCCGTCCGTCCATCCATCCATCCATCCATCCATCCGTCCGTCCGTCCGTCCATCCATCCATCCATCCATCCATCCATCCCTCCGTCCATCCATCCATCCCTCCGTCCATCCATCCGTCCGTCCCTCCATCCATCCATCCACCTATTCTCTTCCACATATCCAATTCAGGTTTGCGGGGGGACTGGAGCCTATCCCAGCTGTCTTAGGGCGAGAGGCATGGTACACCGTGGACAGGTCACCAGTCTGTTAAAGTATGAAACAAAATCTGTGCTACTGCCAAAACTTTTGTTTTGACTGTATTGAGTGTCCTGGAATCGTGTCATGATACTACTGTTGCTGTTATTGTTAGCAGCATATTTAGTCATTGGGTGGTTTCCAATCCCCACTGGATACAAGGGGCAAATTCTCAGCCCTGTATTTGACAATTTATTATGCTTACAATTTATTTTGTATATTTTAATTAAAAGGTCTTAGTTTCTAAACATGACTAGCTGTGGTATAAATACTGTAAGTTAGTTATGTTTTAAAATGTGATTAATTTACCATATTTACACCACAATGCATTTATTCCTAGATTAATAAGACACTGGAAAATTTTCAAAAATGTTCTTTTTCCACTCTCTTATTATCCATTCGATATACTTTATCATGTAGTGTATTGCCACCACTGATTTAAAAAAAAAAAACGCTTGTTAAAGTGCAAAGAAACCGAGTCAGTGAGGTCAATGTTCATTCTATATTACCAATGGTAATTATCGGAGACCTGTTCTTTTACAGTTTTTCTCGCTTGGTTTGGCTCATTTCTTGAAACCGAGATGACATTCTCAAAACCATAAGGTCATTTGGCCAAACAGTCTTACAGTTCTGCCCAACATTATAGCTCACTAGCAAAATCAAATATCCTTCCCCAAACTCTTCGTCCATGCTTCAAAAGCAGATTCCTTTCCCATATAAAAGGTCAGTACAGTCAAAATAGCACAGATCCTTCTCGATTGCCTTGGCACATGTGCATTCATTTAGTGCTTTTGTCAAAATAACCTGGATGGTTTAGCACAACACCATGGATCGCCTGCAAAAGCTCATATCTCTCCCAAAAGAGTTTATCCATGTGTCAAAACTAAATATCCTTCTCTTATAAATAGTCAATGCCCCCAAAATGCATTATACCTTTGGCATTGTTTAAGCACTGCAAGTCAAAATGCTTAGACGTTTTGTCACTGAGGCACAGGTCTAGCAACAGAATACCACTATGAATAAAACTAAAAGATTCTACATTAAAATCAGCCTCCAATAAACCACTCATACTCAAGGAAACTGTAAACATTTTTATTCGTACAAAGAAATGTTAACATTAGAGAACATACTGTGAAAAGAAAACATATACAGGATTCTGTAAATGTGAACAGTTATAAACACAAACAAAAAACCAAAACAAACTCTAGCCTACCATACTGTAAATAAAGTTTCAGAACTATAGTACAGTAATATTTTCAGTGGTCGCCATTGTCACCCTCTCTTTCCTGGCCACCATCCTCATCCCCCTGGCCATCGACGCACTGCTCTCTGTCAGAGTTTCTCTCAAATGGTACCCTGTAAATCTGTTTCATGGTCATCTGATGTTTCTTCAATACCCGGTCTATTGTGGAGATGCTGATAGAGTTTATATTTTGGAACATTACATTGTCTAGCAGGATTGCATTACGAATCTGTCTCAGTGTGATGGCATTATTTGCAATGACCATGTTGCATATTTCTCGTCCTTGTTGTTCATTTAGAAGTTTTCTTCTGCCACCCACTTGAGGCTGTCGTCCAATCCTAGACATACAAGTCAAAGGTCAACACTGTAAATTTGTTACGAAATGAGTTACCAATGTAATTGTACTGCTGTTTTATGGTACTAAAAGTGTGATGCAATGCACAGTGACTGGAATACTATTCACAGTATTTTCTCCATTTTTTTTCTTTGTCATTTTTATAGTATCATATGACATCACATGAAGATATTACAGTACTCTAGGCCTACACACACACCAACACTGAATAGTTCAATAGCATAGTTCTGTACCTGTTTTCCCTGCGAAAGGTTTGGATGATGGAGGAGACTGTAGACCGAGGCACATTAGGCTGCACTCGGCGACCTGCCTCTGCCATTGTGAGGCGATGGTTTATAACATGGTCAATAAGGGTGGCCCGGATTTCATCTGGGACATCATGGTGCCTCCGTGCTCCTCGGCCTCTTCCCCCTATTCCTCCACGCATTCTCACTCCTCCTCTTCCTCTTCTTCTTCCTCCTCTTCCTCGAGCAGGAAGTTGCTGTTGTACTTGGCAAGGTGCTTCCATGTTCACACTGCAAATGAAACTGGCCCCAGGCCAAGCTCTGTCTATATACATTTGGCAGCAGCCATAATCACAGACAACACCTGTCAGGTATCTAAACAACCTGTTTGATTGGTCATCTGAGATGTGGGAAACTGCTCCTTCGTTAGTTCTAATTTCACCTGATTGATTGTCAAGTACTGTCATAACTTCCAAGATATTCTTCCATGGTATTATATCTTTGACTAATTTTGACAGTTGAACAGACAATTGTGCATATGATGACTTACACAATGAAACCATGCTGATATGTTTTGGAGTGAGTAACCATTTCACTGAAAAATCAACTAATCAGTTTAGATAGCCAAGATCTATTTATTTGGAAAATGTGCTAAATGTGGGCTCATTGTGCTAACTGTAGCTACTTGTACATAATCATTTGAAAAGAAGCACAGAGTCAGTTGAGACATGTACTAAAGCATTTGCAATTTGATAAAACCAATGAAAAATGCCATTCTGTTGTGAACAATTGCAAGGTGGTTTGGAGATTTGTCCATGTTATTTTGAGAATGTCATCTCGGTTTCAAGAAATGAGCCAAACCAATCGAGAAAAACTGTAATGGCACCGTGAAGTTTAAAGGTAAACATCAAATCTGTCCAATAAAACTTTTTATTTGTTTAACAGGATGAAATTAAAGTGAAGTACAGGTATAACCAAAAGGCTGTTAAAACCCAGTAACTTAGTAATAAAGAGAAGTCTGGAATTTCATAAATCACTTGTTTTTATAGCATGAAAAGGCTCCCAACAAGAAGCTTTTTAGGTCATAGTTGCAATATGTGTGTTTGTAATGTTGCAAATATAATGTCTGTGTGTGATGCAAACCTAATTTTGACATCAAACAAGACTGCTTCTTATTTTGCAGCATACACAGTACACCAGATCTAATAAAATCAGTTGCAATAGTTTTTTTTTAAAGAAATAAAGTAACCCATATTTGCAAAACAGTAAAATCGAGAGGGATTCAAAAACCTGCAAAAGCAATCAGGTTAATAAAATCTTAACTGTCAACTCTGTCATCTCTGCCTTTTGTCAGGGAGACAAAAGATTTTACAGTAAATCCAATAAATGTAGATGAATGGCGTTCATGTCACTGTATCCAGACCAGCCTGCCAGCTCTAATCTCTCTCTGTCTGGGAGCACTGACCTCTTTTGTTCAGTTGATGGCTTATTAGCTGTATTGATTTTGGCTTCTTTACTTTACAGACCTCCTGCAGAGAGCCAGATGACCCATGCACATATCAGCTACTGTTGGCCACCGAGAGCACCAACAAACTTTACCAGTGTTTCTTGCTCAAGATAAATTCCCAATTTATTGATGTCAATTTTGCTGTTTTTTGCTTTGATTTCAAAGACAAAAGGGGGAGTACTCCACTGAAGACTGGATCTGGATTAAGTGTCTCCTGTTATACTGGATCATGTGTTACAGCCTTGCATGCTGTTTCCCCCCCTGCAGTCACTTCATTGATGGAAGCTTCTCACAGAGGACTCAGTTGCATCTGCTGCATGAGCCAAAGTGGCCAACACATTGTGTGTTGTAAGTACTGAGACTTTTCCACTCATTTTAGTGAATTTCAGACAAATCTAGGATAAGTTTGGTCAATACTGTGTCATATGTACAAAGCATCTAACTGAAAACACTTTTCTTGTCCCTGCTGTAACGCTTTCTATAGTGTTTTAAATTTTAGTAAAAGTATGAAAGCTTCATGGCCAGCCTGATTGATTTGAAGGACATCTGATATCCAGTGACACTATAATATGCATGATATTTTAGAGTGATGTCCTTAACTGAGTATTAAATACCGTGGCTCCTTATCTGCAGTTTTTTTCGTTCACACACACACACACACACACACACACACACACACACACGGTTTTTAGTATCCATGTAGCTGTTAGAAACATTGAAAAACACTTGTGCATTTAGGGTTAGTATTATAGAAAAAATCATAAATGTTGCGTAACCCTCAGCTTTGTTTTGGAGTATCTGAGAATTGCAGTTGTCTGATCATGATTTATCTCAACAGCTGGTTGAAAGCAACATCTTTTCCCCGATCGGTCTATTTGAGATGTTTGTGATTTCCTCACCATGGTTTCTGAATCATGTTCTCCGTGAGGTGGAGCGCAGTTTGAGGCAGAACAGAAACTGATGTTTGATACAACCTGGAAAAACTGTCAGGGTTTCAAATTTTAATATCGCCAGGGGACAAACGTCAACAAAGAAAACAGACAGTTTGTCATGGTGATTCTTATGCAGACTGGTTTGTAGGCAAAAATCAAAGATAGATTCCAGTTTTAAAAGTAATAGATAGATTTCACTGCTTTTTGTTTCATAACAGTATTTTGATTATGTTAATAAATGCTTTGTCTTATGCATTTACTACTTCTGGAATGGATTATTGTAGTTAATTAGCATGATTTTGTCCTAAAACCTCACTGAAAAGCCTTCAGTTGATCAAAGATGCTGCAGCCAGAGTACTTTAGGGACTAGAAAGAGAGAGCTCTTTTTCTCATATTGGCTTCTCTTCACTGGCTCCCTGTTAAATCCAGGATCCAATTTAAAACCTTCTCACAGTTTTTGAAAAATCAGGCCATATCATAACTTAAAAACCTTATAGTACCATATCGCCCCATCAGAGCACTTTGCTCTCAGAGTGCTGGTTTATTTGTGATTCCTAGGGTATTTAAAGGTAGAGTGGGAAAGATAGCCTTGAATTTGGAGGCCTCGCTTCTGTGGAACCAGAACCCAGTTTAGATTCAGAAAACAGACACCATTTCTATCCCCCCAAAAGTCAAAGCATATATTAGCATAACTAAGGGATGGGCCAGAGTCACCTGATCAGATAGGCCTGATAGACGGGTCTGCCTCCCATTCTACTTTTAGAAACTCAAAAAAAAAGTAAACCTGCAGTTGGAGAGACTTGAACATCAGTCTTTGCTCTGGTATGAGGCCCTCAAGATATGATGGCACCTGATCATTCAGGATGTTGTACACTGTAAGGATTTTAAATTCAATTCACAGGGAGCAAGTAAAGAGAAGCCATAAATCTCTGTTTGTAGACCCCTGTTACGCCCCTAGTCTAGGCGTGTAGAGACGCACATAAGGTTGGAGAAGAGAGAGACAAATCCCCGCCCTGGTTCCCAAGCCAGACATCCAAAACCAGTTGTGAGTAAAAAAAGGTGATTTTATTTAAGGTAATGAAGCATAGCTCCAGGGTGAACCCAGGCCAAAATAATAAACAAAACCAACTAAGTCCCACCAGAGAAAACTAACTAAACCCTAAGAAAGAAACAGAACAAACAAATGACAATACTAACCCTCGCTCCCTAACCCGGAAAACAGGAGAAAACTGTTCCAAAGAAAAAGGTGGCTCACCCCTTCCGCTTCAGCCTAAGAGTGCCTAAGCACTAAGTTAATGCACCAAGAGCAGCTCTCACAGATCACGCTCACACAAATACACAGTAAAAGTATAGGCTGGGAAAACCAGGGTCAGGACCGCGTCGGCTGTCAAGCTGCCTGCCTGCCTGCCTGCCTGCTTGCTTGCTTGCTTGCTCGCTCGCTCGCCCCACTCTCTCTCTCTCTCTCTCCCGGGAGCTGTCAGAGCAGCTTTTTGAATGTGGTCACCTGTTCCATGGTCCAATCAGCTGCTCACTACTCTTCATTAGGGGAGGGACCTGTAAAGAGTCTTAAACACAGTAAAGAGACACAGAACAAAACAGCCCACACAGTGTTCTTATGGCCACAGCCGTAACAACCCCATTTGTACTCTCACTGTAGCATTTTGGATCAAGTGAAAGCTTTTCCAGGGAGTTTTTAAAACAAGAGGAATAAAAATAGTCCAGCCTTAAAGTAACATTTTTAGACTAGTTTTCAGCATAATTATAGCTCAAGGCACCATCTTCTCTTTAAGCATTATGTTTTATTCAAAAAGAGGACCCAAATGCAGACAAGAGAAGGCAGGAATAAAACTGGCAAGGAAGCCATTGGTTGCTAACACAGTTTACAACCCAGGAGACCAGAGGAGTGATTCAAATCAAGACAGGAGTGAAGGAGAACCCAGACAGTCTTAACAATTCATAAAAAATAAAAGAGAGCTATAAATACACAGGGAACTAATTGTGAACAGGTGGAACTAATGAATATGGGTGAAAACAATCAGTTCAGAGCAGTCGATCATAAGGAGCAGAAAAACAGGCACGGACAGGAAGTAAAACAACAAAGGCTGTGTGAGGAAAGCCAATTACCAAAATAAGACAGGGCACAATAACAAGGGCAATGAGAAGTTGATGCAGGCAAAGGAGCAGACAAAACAGAAACAAAGAAAGAAGTTGACCAAGAAAGAAACAGGATGTGACAGACATGACAGATTAATGGCATGATTTAACTCACAAAATAACATTGAGTGACCTATGAGTCACTCACTGCTTTCAGTGTACAAAAATGTAAAATGGTGACATGTTGGCAAATTCTTATCTTGAGAGGCTGAATTGAGAGTTTGGGCATTTAGGGGGAAAAAGACACCGAAGACCAAAAAGCATGTCAGAGTGGGCGCCTGTGTAAACCTATGCAGGGTTTGCCATGTGTCCCACATTAACTTCCTGTATGAGTAACCTCTACGGAAATGTTCCCACTCCTACTGTCACCCACATCTGAAGGCAAATCGTGCAGTTGTCGTGGTAACAGCAGATTGTTTTGGTTGGTTGCGGTGGGGCTTTCGATGAGGGAAACTGTGTCATCAGAAATTTGTCTTGTATAGGATTTAGGACTCTCTCGCTGACCTGATGTGGGTGGAAGTCTTCTCAAACAGCTCAAAAGCCTTGTCTTTTGCTAGTTCATGTGTACGGCTTCCTGACTTCCTGGAGCATCTTGGTCTATGATGATGGATTTCAGCATGCTTTATCAAAGCCAGTCTAGTGTGGTTCCCCAGCTGCACCAAGGCCGATCAGCAAGCACTCCAGCGGGTGGTGAAGGAAGCTGGCAGAATTATTGGAACAAGTCTGCCAGAGATCAGTAATATCTTCCCCACTCGCTGTCTGAGGAGGGTGCACAGTATCCTGCAGGACCAACATCACCCTGCGCGCCACCTTTTCCATCTGCTGCCCTCAGGGAGAAGGTACAGGTCTATACAGCCAGAACATCCAGACTGGCCAACAGCCTGTATCCACAGGCTGTGAGGCTCCTGAACTCTCTGCCCCCCTCTCACGGACAATAACCATATCCAACTTCTTAATAGCAATGAACTGGTCTGCATTGGTGCATCATATCTTTATTCTCTTCCCCCTCCTGCCCCCCCCCCCCCCCCCCCCCCCCCCCCCTCTTTCTTAAATAGATAGCTATCATATCTGATATCATATCTCACAGTACAATAATATTGAATGGGTTGCATTGTTGTATTTTGTCATGTTTCTCAGGTCTTTGTCTGAATTTCTACGAACATCATTGCTAAGGATTGTCTTATTGCATTGGAGTCACACTGGGTTAAATATGTACACTTGGGTTTTAAGGGGTATTTATTATTTTCTTCTTTTTTTTGGGTTGTATGGAAGCCCCAAACGCAATTTCATTGTTCTTGACAATGACAATAAATAAATAAATACTAAATACTAAATACTAATACTAATATGTAGCAATTTTAACTAAGCACATGCCTTTACATTAGAGAAACTTTATTTTTGGTAGGAATAATGGCTGAGTCTTTCTCATCTTTCTTGCTGCTTTCCTGGAAGTAGTGCTTGATATGTCACTAAGAAATATATTAACTGAAACTTCAAGGCCTTCATCCTTAAATATATACTCGCTCTCATTTCAAAACAATTATCGATTACTATGATTATCCCTCTTGTAAATATTCCTCATACGTGCCAGGTCATAACATGAGGTATTCAGCCAAGGATGTGCTTGCCATCCCACAATCCCAGCTGATGAGAAAGGATGCCCAGGTCTTTTATGTTAGAGCACCTACTCTCTGGAACAACCTGAGGAGAACACATTGGCAAACTCATTATTTTGTTATTTTATCTGTATTTTTATAAGCAGGCTTTCTCAGTGTTTCCAGTTTTAGTTACTTTACATCTTTACATCTGTATCTTGTAAAGTTTAAAGCTATTAATTTTAATTTCATTATGTTTTTCATGGAATCTCTTTGTGCTGATAGTCCTCCCACAATGTTGCATATCTTTTATTATCTGTCATTATCACTCTAAGACTAAATGACTTTATCTCAATTCGTATTTCCCAGAAATGATGACTTTCCACTGGAAACAGGACGAGATGACGGTATCTCATGTTTTATACGCTATGCTAATGAAACAGCTCCACATTAGAAATATCTCTACTGCAAAAGAGAAAAATATCAACAAACTGACACTTCTAAGCTGTTTGTAACAATAACACTGAAGTGTTTTTGACTCGTGTCCCATATTTAGTGTGACTATGACAGATGAAAAATATTGTTTATGAACTGTGAGCTTAATATTTGTGTGTGATGTGTAAATACTCCTTCCTCTTGACCTCAGTTTGATTGCAAATGTTTGCTG